CTCCCTTTAAAAAAAAAAAAAATAAATCCCATTTATTGGTGGTCAGCAGCACTTTTAAAACAATCCCACAATAATTGGTGGTCAGTAGACTTTAACCCCCCCTCTGCGTTCATTGAAGAACACAACATCTGCCCCCCAGATGCACTGTCTGTGTCTATAGTTTATACTGCTTTGTCATTAAGTGAAGTTCATCTGGCAGATGGGGTATTTGGCCACCAGCACTTTTTTTTTTTTTTTACCAGAGATCAAGATCTCCACTGTGTACTTCAATGAACACAGAAAAAAAGATTTTATGGTGAGAACAAAAAAATCCTATTTCCTTTGCGTTCATTGAAGGACACATTAAAGATCTTGGTTACTAACGAAGGTATGTCCCAAAGCAGTAACTACTGAAGGGTGGGAAAAACTCAAGAACAACTTACCCAAAAACAAAAAATAAATATACTATTCTGCCGCCTCTAGAACCTTGCAACCAAATATGCATCCACATTAACTTTGTAAAGCCTAATGAAATTGTGCACCGATAACCAGGTGGCCGCCTTGCAGACTTGAAAGAAAAGAGGCCTAGGATGTGCTAACTACTCAAATGGAATGGGCTGTAAAAGGAAAAGGGGAGTATGATTTTGGATGGAGTAAACTTAAACAATAATCTCTCTAATCTCTGGTGGCCGCTTTCCCTTTGCATGGGCCTTTGGTCACAACAAAGAGAGAGTCCACCTTATGAAACACAGACATGAAGGAGAGGTAAACTTGCATGACATCTAAGCAAAGAAGAGCTATTTCCTTGCGATGCACCAGACAAGGGCTAAGAAGGGGCAGGATGATATCCCCATTAGGAAAAGCAGACACCACGTTAGGCAGAAAAGAAGGATTTGGGCAAAGAACCACCTTATGTTTATGCCAAACCAAAAAGGGAGGCTGACAAAACAAGGTTACTCATTTCGTAAGACCCTCTGGGCCAAGGTGATGACCACTAACAAGGCCACCTTTGGGGAGAGTGTCAACAAAGGTAAGTCTCATATATGCTCAAGGGAAGATTTGTTTGCAAGACAGAATATACTAGGTTCAGGTCCCATGGAGACATTGGAGGTCTGATTAAAGGACACACATGCGTCACCCCTTTGATGAAAGTGCGACATTGAGAGTACTAAGGCTAGCTCTTGACCCATTCCACTTTGGAGTAAGAGCTACAGTTTGGAGTGAGAGCTGCCATAAAGGAACGCAGAACGTCCAGCTGTGGTGAAACTATAAATTCCATAATGCGTCAACCTCTGGGAGTCATGTCTGTGGCTGTCATTCTTGCAATGCCTCATGGGATTTTTAGTTTCACCACTGCTGGACGACCAGAGTTTCCTATCCCTGGTCGAGGCTTTGACAACTTAGGTAGTCTCCCTGCCATTTGTTGACTCCTGGAATGTAGACCACATGTAGGGCTGGCATATGGTTTCCACCCAGTGAAGGACGTGAGATATATAGGCAGTTGTTCCTCCTTGATAATTGGCATATGCTACAGCCGTGGCATTGTCGGATTGAACCCTAATGGGGTGCCCCCGTAGAAGATCGGTCCAGGTCAAGAGACATAGTTTGATTGCACACAGGTACAGTATATTGATTGTAGATCACCCCTTCAGAGCCACCAGTAGCGTTATCCTATATTGGGATATCGCTAACTGGAGAAGGGGGAGCGCTACACCACTTTCCATTTTCCTGATGATTATTCCAATATGAACATTCTATAAGTTTCTGATGATTTGTGATATAGTAGTGAATCCTTTAATCATCTGCAGAAGTCATATAAATAGGTTTTGTTCTAATACCGTTGTTGTATAATGCTAGGCATGTATTTTTACTTGTACATAACAGTTTAGGTATTGTTGTATAAATCACCACTTCTTAGGCATGTCGGGCATGTCAAGCTTGTTCTACATCTCTAAAATAAGATGAGATAATATTACACAGTCCAGCTTTTTACTACCCCCTATGAATGAGAAGCTTTGTGATGTCTAATCCTGACCTGGGGGCTATAAAATGAAGTACTAGTGATTTTCTCAAGAAAAGTAAAAGGGAGCTATTAGAAAATCGGAAAATTCTGTGTAATTATTGCAAAGCTGAAGTAAAAATGGAACAGAATTTTTTAGAAATAGACTCTTTGGGAGGGGGGTTGTCAAAGGCTGACAAAGGCCGAAAAATGCACAAAATTGTATATGCCAACTTAAAGGGTTTGTTCACTTTTTCACAAAACATTACATCTCCTCCATTCACGTCACTGGCCATCTATACACATCCTCCTCTCCTTCCTTCACATCACTGGCCATCTATACACATCCTCTCCTCCATTCACGTCACTGGCCATTCATACACATCCTCCCCTCCTTCATTCACATCACTGGTTGCCCATTCACATCCTCCTCTCCTCCATTCACGTCACTGACCACCCATATACATCCCCCTTTCCTTGTGGCAATGCCTCTGGTCACTGTCGTACCTCCTCACTATTTACACAACTCCATTAATGATGTATATTTTAGAACCGTTTTAAAATGAGAAAGGTCGACTTCATTATTTTGGCGCACAGGATTGGATATTCATAGAAATTGTTGCACAGCACTTTTAACCTGGCGTGGCCACTACAACACCACATAGAACTGCTGTGAGGGCCCATTCACATCACATTGGGCTAAATGCACAGTACCCATACGTTTATTTGGAAGGCAGCAATTTGTGGTGCTGCATTAACATGCATTGTGGTGAAAACAAAGTGATGCATGGTACTGCACTGCTAGTGTTTGCTAAACGCACGGACACCATATACTGTATATAGTGCAATGCGATGGTGCACATGTGCCCTAATAACACTTGAGCGTTAGTGTTTTTAGGTAATTTTAAAGATTTCTTTGCTCACTTTCCTTCATTTTGTCTTGAGTGTTTTTGTTGTCATTGTTTTGTCCGTGAAAAAGCTGATTACTATGAGGAGGAGATGGTTGTCAGGCATCATATTGTGCCAAAAATGTGTATTTTTCAGGCGCCCCCATTTTCGAGTTTATGACACGGAGATGTGTGTCAAAAGCTCAGGTGTGAAGAGCCACCATTAAATTCCATGGGATTATCTACGCTAAGTGCGGACACGTTTCAGGAAACATGCGTCAAAACACTCAGGTCAGAAAGTGGCACCATTGAAAACTAGGATTCTCTACATCGAGCATTGACATGCTTCAGAAAATGCGCATCAAAACGCTCAGGTGTAAAGAGGCACCATTGAAAACAACGGGATTCTCTACATCGAACGTTGACATGCTTCAGGAAATTTGCATCAAAACGCTCAGGTGTGAAGGGACACCATTGAAATCAATGGGATTCTCTACGTTGAGTGTTGCCATGTTTCAGGAAAAGTGCGTCAAAACGCTCAGGTCAGAAAGGTACACCATTGAAAACAATGGGATTCTCTACATCGAGCGTTGACATGCTTCAGGAAATGCGCATCAAAACACTCAGGTGCGCCAGTGAAAACAATGGGATTCTCTACATTGAGCGTTGACATGCTTCAGGAAATGCGCATAAAAACACTCAGGCGCACCAGTGAAAACAATGGGATTCTCTACATTGAGCATTGACATGCTTCAGGAAGTGCGCATCAAAACGCTCAGGTGGTAAGCGGTACCATTGAAAACTGGGATTCTCAACATCGAGCGTTGACATGTTTCAGGAAATGCACATCAAAAAGCTCAGATGGGAAGGGTCACCAGTGAAAACAATGGGATTTTCAACATCTAATGTTGGCAGGTAATGCGCATCAATACGCTCAGGTGTGAAGGGGCACCATTGAAAACAATACGATTCTCTACATCGAGCATTTACACGCTTCAGGAGACGTGCTTTAAAACGCTTTGGTTTGAAGGGTCACCATGGAAAACAATGGGATTCTCCACGTCAAGCGTTCAGGTTTCAGGAAACGTGCGCCAAATTTCTCAGGTGTGAAGGGACACCTCTGAAAACAATGCGCATGTTTTGGGGGGCGTTATGCATTTGGCGCACAGAGAATGCGCCAATATTTATAACACAAAACTGAGATCATTGCCTCCATTAATTGCAGTTTCTCTGAGGTGCAGTGAGTGACTGTCAGAGCCCTCCTCATCCTCATCCTCCTGCTTTGTGCACACAGCTGCCTCTTTGTGTCTGGCTCTACACACTCTCTCCCTCCTTGTAGTAGAGGTCTGCCCTTCCTCCTCCTCCTGTCTTCTAGTGCAGCCAGTCTCCCTCCCCTCTTCCCAGTGGCTGTGTGCCGCACCTTAGCGTCTCCAGGGGGGCCGTGCAGCCGCTGCAGCAGGTAAGAGCCTCTCGTCTACTGCACGCTGCAACCTGCCGGGCTCCTCTCTCACAACCCGGCCTTTATTTTCTCTCCCTCTGCTCCATACCGCCATCTTGCCTGTCCTGCTCTGTGCTACAACTGCGTGTAGAGAGAGCTTGGCCGCAGGGGCAATGGTACACAGCAGTCACCTGCAGCCAGAGCATGCCTGCCATGCTTCACTGCACCCATCTCAGGGCTGCACGCTGCATGCACAAATCACTTTGCACCCTGCAGGTTTGCATTGCATTACATTCAGACATGTTGCTTTACACAAATCTGCACACGGTGAGGGGGATCTATTAAAACTGGAGCAGTTGTCCATGGCAACCAATCAGCTTCTCTCTTCAGTTTGCTCAGGCAAGCTTTGAAAATGAAACAGAGACGCTGATTGGTTGCCTTGGGCAACTGCTCTAGTTTTGATAAACTCCTTCCTGTGCATGGTTGTTGGCTTCTGGTGGTGCCTTTTATCATTGCCCATAAGGCTGTCACCCGTGGCAACACTCAAGCGACCTCTCTACTACTCATGTCTGTGCCATACCCACATCAGGTGTTGTCTGATTGCTATTGCATGAACTATTACAACACGCTTGTTATCAGATTTAACAGGCAGCTGCCATGGCATAACATTCCTTCTTTATTGCACACTGAGTAGGATGCATGCAACCCGTGTTATGTATTTATATGAGCCACTGCGTAGTAGTTCTGCAGTCCTTTTGCCCAAACTGGTTCATTTACATGCACAGCGTGTCCATCCGATTTACACAATACAGATTTTTTTTATTTTTACTCCTTCTCACAACACGTTACATTGAAGGATCAACGTCACCTATGGACCTTTCCATCAGGCGTATATTTTGCTTTGCACGGTGTTACAACGTTGCAGATCGCAGGCAAGTGTACACATCTGCACATTGTTGATCTGAAGTCTGCAGGTTGCATTTGATCCATGTATTAATCCCCATAAGGCAGAGGGTTGTAACCCCTAGCAACTGTCAGACAACATCTCTACTACTCATGTCTGCGCTTCACCCACATTGGGGGTAATCTGATTGCTACTGCATTGCTCTATGAACTATTTAAAGCTTGTTTTTATATTTAAAAGACAGCCGGAGTGACATCGATTGAAGAAGATGCATGCAAAGATTTTTTTCCAACCAGTATTATGTCTTTATATTAACCAATGTGTAGTAGTTTAGCTGTCGCTTTGCCCAAGATGGTTCATATTCATGCACAGTGTGTGCTTCAAGAAAGATGAGACAATGTTATACAATACAGCTTCTTTACTCCTCCTCACAACATGCACATTACAGCACATTACAGGGTCAGCAGTACCCTATGGACTATCAGACGTATATTCTGCATACACAGTGTTGCAGGTCACATAGGACTGAGGTGCCCTCAGATGCAACGGCTGCTCACTGCTTTCATTTGAAGGCATATTCCAGTTTTTGCAATAAATAAATACATGCACCCGTATTGCTAAAAGAAAAAATTTCATTTTATTAAAGTGACACTAAACTCAGGAGTTAAACCTTAAAGTGACATTAAAGGCACAGTTTTTGTTCCACCCCCCCTACCCCCCCTCCCAATAATTATGTAAGGACTTACCTTAAATGATGCCTCCTTATCCGATCATCTTCTTCTTTCCTGTAGTGTCCAGGAGTCCCTCCATTGCTGGTGCCGGTCTCTGATCCAGCGCTGACTCCTCTCTCTTCCTGTCCCACTGAGTCTGTGCTGCCTCCATTGACTTACCTTGTGTCTCTCCTTGTCTCCAGGCCGAAGATCTGAACTGCGTATGCGCCCACCCAATAATCCTTCGTGGCCGCCCGAGAATCTTCAGATCTTCGGACGGGAGCGCGCAGCAGAGACACAGGTAAGTTTTAACCTATTTGTTAACTTTTTTTTTTTTTAATGTTTTTGCAAATATCTAATGCTTGCTAGTGGTAGATATATGCAAAAAAACGTAATAGCCCTTTAATAAAGCATTCAAGTACCTTGTATTTAGTTGATTTAAACAGAAAGTTCAGTTGGGCTTTAAAGTGACACTTAACTCAGGAGTTAAATCTTAAAAATGCCTTCAAGTACCTTTAACTTTTAACAGAAATGTATCTTATTTGTGTATCACTCGGCTGTAGATCCTCCAATCATCTCTGAATTGGTGCCGACACTGTCCTTCCTTCTGGAGGGGGGCTACTTTTGTTGTCTATGGTCCCTGTGTGTGTTGTAAAGTAGCCACCACTCCAAGCTCACTCCCGTGATGGTCTACAAACTCAATACATATTAGCTAACGAAACATGAGATTGTAGTCCATCCCGGGAGTGAGCTTGGAGCGGCGACTACTTTACAACACACACAAGGACCATGGGGAACAAAAGTAGCCCCCTCACGAAGGAAGGACAGTGTCCGCACCAATTCAGAGATGATTTCAGGATCTACAGTCGAGTGATACACAAATACACAAATAAGATACATTTCTGTTGAAAGTTAAGGTACTTTGAATGCATTTCTAGGGTTTAACTCCTGAGTTTAGTGTCACTTTATTTATTTTTTTTGCATTCGAGCCTGAAAAACATTGCCACCACCATTACTGGATCCCATCTTCAATGCACAGGCTCCTGCAGATTATTCCTCCAATCCCAGGTCCGTACTGAGGTACAGACCTTCAGTTATGGAGCAGATGGAAATTCTCTATGGACTATAAGTGCGGTGATGTCAATGCATTTGTACTCCATTTGGAACTACATGTCCCTCTGTCATGGTAGTTTTTTCATTCACATATCCCGTGGATCTGTGAAGGAATGACGTGGCTGTGCAGACGAAGCCACAAAAAAAACCGGAGTACCCGGAGGAAACCCACACAAGCACCGGGAAAACATACTTAGTACACATTCACATCACTGATCCCAGGAGCTTACAATCTAAGGTCCCTATTGCGCACACACAGTGGCGGACCTAAGGAACAAAGGGCCCTGGTGCAAGATTTTTTTTGGGCCCCCCCACCCCAAAAAAAAACCCCCACAGACACAGCGCTCTCCTCCCGCAGCGCTCGGCCGGCTGTCACTTTCTCTCCTCCCCGCTGGGACACAGAGCAGCGCCCAGCGGGGAGAAAAGAAAGCACGGATGCGCTGCTGTATCAGCAGAAAAATGGCACTTTCGCCATTAGCCAAAAGTGCCATTTCCGGACGATATCTTTTGGCGGCCGATATATCGGTGCATCCCTAATATTTACAGCAATGCAGAATGGCACAGGCTATAGAGGACTACATATCCCAGCAATACTTTATATAACAATAGCATTTCTGTATAAAGTAATGCTGAGATTTGTAGTCCTCTATAGAGGGTGCCATTGTGCATTGCTGCAACACTACTTTATACAACATTAGGCTACAAATAATAGTGCGCCTGCACCAGCGGGTGTTCCGCCACTGCACACACATACGGGTGCCAATTTAGACAGAAGCCAGTTAACCTTCCAGCATGTCTCTGGAGTGTGGGAGGAAACCGGAGTGCCCGGAGAAAACCCACGCAAGCACAGAGAGAACATGCAAACTCCTTGTAGATAGTGTCCTGACTGGGATTCGCTCCAGGGACCCCCAGTGCTGTAAGGCAAAAGTGCTAACTTTTACGTTACACCCTAAATAGGGGTGGAACATCTTATGAAAGATGGAATTAGCCTTTAATAATGCCAAGAAAAATGATGTCAATGAGCTGTTACTTTGCAACAGTTTTAGTTAAGTTCTAGCAATGGAGTTGATTTCTGGGTCTTAGGTTACGGCATCTAGCACAATATTCTGTGCGGTGTTAAAAATGATTATTGATACTACAATAATGTCAGAGGCTCTGTTTCATGAATATGCACATTATCAAAATGCGCATTGGTGTGCTGTGGTGGCATTCATTCTATTGGCACCCTAACATACCTTGCCAATGCCCTTGTGTTGCAGCACACCAGAACACATGTTGAAGTTGAGGTGCGCTGCGTTACAAAAAGAAATGTACATTTAACATTTTATGGTGAATTTTTTTGCTGTAGGCAGTCCACTCAAATGAATGGGCTGCTTTAATACAACGCAAACGTGCATCACACGTTTGCGTTGCCACAGAGCAGGGATGCGAACCCAGGCGGATGCATTAATATGACATGAACTTTTATGCATTTGCGTGTATGGTCTGAGTAAGATTTGTGTTTTGAGATTGAAATCTCCATTCATATTTTTGTCTAGTCTAGTTATTCTCTCATTGCATAAGTTTATGTATTTTTACAAGTGTGTTAAATCCGGGCTGTGCAAATGTATGTATTTATTACAGGTACTTGTATAGTGCTGACAATTTACGCAGTGCTTTACATTGTGCACATTACATCAGTCCCTGCCCTCAAGTAACTTACAATCTAAGGTGCCTATTGCACACACATACAGAGCCAATTTAGACAGGAGCCAATGAACCTTCCAGCTTTTCTTTAGAAGTGTTGGAGGAATGTGAAGTACTCAGAACAATCCCACACAAGCACAGGGAGAACATGCAAACTCAATGCATATAGTGTCCTGACCGGGCACCTCCAGCGCTGCAAGGCAGAAGTCCTAACCATTTAAAATCGCAGGTGCCAGATATTATTATTATACAGGATTTATAAAGCGCCAACAGTTTGCGCAGCGCTTTACAATAATAGGAAGACATTACAATCACAATACAATTCAAGACAAGATGGTAAGGAGCGCCCTGCCCGTGAGGGCTTACCATCTAAAACGGAGGTGCAAGTGATACATGAGGCGGTACATGTGTGGGGATGAATTGTTTGAGAACGTGATGGTTGAGCGGTTAGGTTGAGGTGGGATAGGCTTCCCTGAAGAGATTAGTCTTAAGGGATTGCCTAAAGGCAGTCAGAGTCGGAGATAGTCGGACAGGTTAGAGTAAAGAGTTCAATAGGATGGGAGAGACTCTAGTGAAGTCCTGGAGGCGAGCATGGGAGGAGTTGACGA